CTGTGAGCAACCAACCACCTGATGGACGATCACAGAAAATACCTGGCAAATCATCTCAAACTGTGAACAGATCTGTCAGAATCCCATTGAATCGCAGGCAATTCGTGAACAGTTAAAGGGGCTGTAAAGACAAAGACTTTGGGTCAAATTTTCAAAAGTATCTGCATGATTCGGAACCTGAGACTCATTTTCAAAAGTGATTTAGGCACTTAAGAACCTGAGTCCCACAGATTTTTAATGAGTCCCATTTAGGCGCCTGACTCCCATTGATTTGAAAATAGCTCTTAGGTTCTTAAGTCACTTAGGCACGTTTGAAAATTTGACCCCTTGTGTCTCCAACTCATACCCTGCTCCTCAACCTGAAATGTTGTTATCATTATTTGATGGTTCAGCTGCTTTTAGAATAACAGTGATTGGTTCCACTTTAAAAACTAGAGACAGGAGCCGAAGAATAAAAGAAAATAAAGGTTAGAAATATTTAAACCGGGGCCAAGTTTTCAAAAATCCTCAGCATCCACTTTTGAAAATTCTGATCACACAGCCCGCTCCAGCTCTCAGGGATAAAACAACGAGAGCAGGATCAGCCCCATAACTCCCACTGATATCATTTGGAACAGGATTGAACCTCAAAGAAAATCATTAATAACTTTTCTCACTTACAATGTGTTAGTTCCAGGATCAGCTGCTTTTGAGCCAGAGGGAACATTAGGCTACCATGGCTATTTCACATCCAAGGGCATTTGTTCATGGGCTGTTACTCAAAAATGCTTAACAGATTTTTCTCAAACTTTGCAGAAACATTCTTCTTTGCCTTCACAGTAAATATGGTACTTTCCAAGGCAAAGTCATGTTCCAAGGCAAAGTTATCATAGGGACTAAACAGGGGAATCTTGCAGGAGCCTTAGTTATGGAGTGGCTGTTGCCTCTCTTATAATACACTCTGCATTATACATTGATTACACTTTCGATAGTAACTGTGATGTAAGTATACATTAGTATAGGAGAAGCATTGGATACTGCGTCTCACAGGATCTGCCTTGAAAAATCCATTCAAACAGGGGACTGAAAGCTGACCAGAAGGTCCTAAAGAAAGGGTCATTCTAAACTGCAATTTGCTGGGGCAGCTCTCCCATGGGCTCTTTGTAGCATTTTCATTAGCAGTCTAGAGAGGAAATAAACAGCAAGGTAACAAAATATGGAGGTGACTCATGGGAGGTATAGTTCAGATACCTCATGCTCCCATTCTCCTCTATGGGGAAGGCTCCCTGGCTGGACTACATCATCCATGATGCACTACAGCCTTCCATTTGTTTGAATGGTTGCAGTGCCTCTTGGGAGTCACATGACTGTAGTGCATCAAGGGAGATAAAGTCTAGCCAGGGATCCTGGCTCACGTAAGTGAATGGGGGCAAGAAGCATTCTGTTCTGTGCTAGTCTGCATAGGTACTACAACTCCCATGAGGCACTGGGGCAGTTCAGAGGACATGGGATAATGTCGATCATAGCCAAAATGAAATTTTTCAACATTTCGAGCCACTGGGGCAAGGCAGCCAACGGGGATAGGGAAGGGAAGAACAGAACAATACCGAGCATTCTCTGAAGCCATGTATGTGATTCCAACCACAGCTCTCCATGTGGGGTTCTGCCTACTGGCGGCAAAGTGCAGAGAGCGGGAAGCGCTGCGGGCTGCTGGAAGGGAATTTTTTCTACTTGTGTTTGGAGCAGCTGGGTATTCTAGTGACCCACATTCAGAAGCTGTTCCAAGCATTGGCTGGAGCAATGGCTGTGATGGAGGCATCTGTTGTCAGTCTCACCAGCCTGGCTCATGCATCTCTTTTGCCTTTCTGGATCCCTTCACAGGCGTTCGGAACAATTTGTATACCTCACCGTGTAACTTGGCCGGACTAACTCCTGTGGCAAATGGCTCATGTGTGGCCCTCATATGTGGGAGCATGGGTGAGCTTAGCTCTGTCCCAGCTCTTCTGATCCCCCTCTGCTTCCTTCCTTTCCCACCCTTTCTGAACTCCAGTTTAGCCCCAGTGGGAGACTGGGGCATGTTAGTTCCACAGTGCAACATGGCCAAATCGGCTGGCTACTGGCTACCTTGTTGGCTGCGGTGTCCAGTGAATCAATGCAGAGCAGCTGGCGTATCTCACCCCCTGGTGGATACAATACCCAGTATGAGCGATGGCTGGAACTTTTGGGGCCATAAGTTGCCACCTGCGCCCCTTGGCTCCAGAATCTCTGTCTCATCTGTGATTGATTGAATGCACTGACACTTGCTAGTGACCTTGGGGGAGATTAGCCCTACAGTGCACATGCCAATTGCACACAAGATACCCCTTCATATCAGGTCCTTGTTGTGGGGTCTCTTGTTGCTGTGTAATATGTACAGGTCTGTAGATGTGTCTCTACCTACCACATGGCCGCTCAGCACATTGGATAAAGCTGGCTATTCAAGCTGGAAAGACAGATAAAAATAGGAGGATCCCTGGAGATTTGCTAAGATTTTTCTCTTCTTATCTAACCCACTGGAGGTTGCAGAGTGCTTTCTGGGAGCCCAGCCAAGTCAAGATTCAGAGTCAGTTCTACTGGGTGAAAACTATTTGGAATCCAGGTTTTGCACTGGAGTGAACTTTGTCCTAAAAGCTCTTCAGAGTAAGTGGAGCCAGAAATATTTGAGATAAACAGAATTCCGGGAGCCCAGGTTTCTGCTGGTCTAATTATAACAAAGGGCATTTGTCGGGGATTTCAGTGGGGTTGGTAGCCCAGGGACAGGACCAGGGCAATGAGAAGCATTCGGAGATTTTGGATAGAGCTGGGTGGGAAATGGCTTTTCCGTCCTGCAAGATCTTGTGAGCTTTTGGAAGTGTTTCTGTTCTGAATTGGAACAAAAAGCAGAATCTCGACAAATTTTGCACACGGATCATCCCAAAAAGAATCCGGACAAGGTCAAATGAAATGTGTCATTTCGCTCATTTCAAATGTTTCAATTTTTTTACCTTTTTTCATCTTTTTTTAGTATAAAGTAACTAAAATTGCAAGCAGACAACTTGTTTTAAACTGTGAAACCAAGGTTTTTGACTCGAAATTATCAAAACGTGACATTTTGACACTTCCAAACGTTTGTTTATTTTTTCAAAAAAAATTCTAAGTGGGAGATTCACCCTTTCTCACCAACAGTTTCGCTTTTGTCAAATCAGCATTTTTCCAATGAAAATAATGTTTCTTTAGAAAATTCCCGACCAACTGGCGTTTTGGGACTTGGGAAATGCTCGAGAAACACAGCTCATCAAAAGTGGCAACCCCTTTGCAGGGGTGAGCTCTCTCCATATGATTAGCGCCCCCGTGGGCTGTGACACGGCTCTCCCCCTGCACCACCATTTCTGGGACAAGCTCTCTGATGCAAGCCACACCAGGAATTGTGCTGCTTCCTTCCTTTGATTCTGCAGCTTCTGGCTTCCTGATTCTTACTTAAAGAACAGGAGTACTTGTGGCACCTTAGAGACTAACAAATTTATTTCAGCATAAGCTTTCGTGGGCTACAGCCCACTTCTTCGGATACTTGTAACATCTCACCTGAAGCTGAAGTGGGTGGCCACTTTGATTTAAACTGAAAAAGTCTGATCCTGTAGCTGCCTGCGGGGGCAACAGAGGGGGTCTTTGAATGAGTTGGTCAATACACAGAAAAAGAACATGGCAAACAGCATGGGCATTTCATGGCGGTTTTCGTTTTGCAGAGTTCCCAGCAGTTTTGTGGGTTTCCACATTTTTTGCAACAAATTTTTATTGCCATTTTTATCCAAAACATAAAAATAAAAAAAAATCATTTGCAGACATCAGTATCCATTTCCATCATGTTGTTGATTAAAAACAAAAGTGAATAAAAATATCCTGAGAAAATTCACCAAGAACTTTTTATTTAAGATGACAATTTTTGGTGAAAATATTCATTTTAAAAATTGCCATTTTTGGACTAACAAACTCCTGTTTCCAAAAGTTTCAATCACCCCCACTCCCTGATCCCCCTGGGCGTAGCACAGCTCAGTGGTTCTCAGCCAGGGGTACGTTTACCCCTGGGAGTACGCAGAGGTCTTCCAGAGGGTACATTAACTCATCTAAATATTTGCCTAGTTTTACAACAGGCTACATGAAAAGCACTAGCGAAGTCAGCACAAACTAAAATTTCATACAGACAATAACGTGTTTATACTGCTCTGTATACCATACACTGACATGTAAGTGCAATGTTTATATTCCAATTGATTTCATAATTGCATGGTAAAAAGGAGAAAGTCAGCAATATTTCAGTAATAGTGTGCTGCGACACTGTTGTATTTTTATGTCTCATTTTGTAAGCAAGTAGATTTGAAGTGAGGTGAAACCTGGGGGTACACCATACAGATCAGACTCCTGAAAGGGGTGCAGTAGTCTGGAAAGGTGGAGAGCCACTAGTGCAGCCCACTCACCCAGAACCACTCCCCGAGCCCTGCCTTGGGGAGGCAAGACCCCACGGCGCACCCCACCAGGGCTCCTCGCCGCCCACCTGCCATGCTCGGGCATAGAATTGTGGTATGTCTAGACTACAAGTGCTACAGCGGCACTGCGGCAGCTTCGCTACTATAGCGTAGCCACTTGCTACGGAGACAGAAGGGGTTTGGCCATCGCTGTAGTTAGTCCGCCTCCTTGAGAGACAGTAGCAAGGTCAAGGGAGGAGTTCTTCCATTGACCTCCCAGTGTCTACCACAGGGCTTAGGATGGCTTTAACTACGTCTCTCAGAATTGCACTAACCCAGCCCTGCCCGACCTGTGCTGTAACCACCCCCGTCCCTGCCCAAGATGAGGCCTCTATTACTCCCTGGAAGTCTCCAACGTGTGAAGCCATTTGTTGCTGGTGCATTAGCCACTCCCAGCATTCGGGGTGTCTCCTGTTTGTGAATCTGTCCCTGGTGCCTGCTGGAGCCCTGGGCTGAGTCTGTCTCTGTCCCTGCTCTCCACAGAAGCCGCTGTCCGGCGGCAGCACGTCATCCATGTGCAGCACTGTGGATTACAAGGCGCCAGAGGTGGAGGCGGAGGAGGCTGCAGACGAGGCTGCCGATGGCCAGGGGCCTGAGGAGTGCTTCACCGAGGGTAAGGGAGCCACGCAGTGACCCTGTAGAGAGAGACAGGGGGAGCAGGAGGGTGGAGGGTTACCCCATCCTGGTACGGTCCCAGAGCACCAGCTGTGCCTGCAAAACACAGCATAACTGCCCTGAAACCAACAGAGAATGGGCCAAGGGTAGAGAACTAGCCCTGCGGTGATAGACCCCAGGAGCTCAATCTAGTTAGATTAACAAAGGGACAGTTAAGGGGTGACTTGATCACTGTCTATAAGTACCTACCTGGGGAACAAATATTTAATCATGGGCTCTTCAATGTAGCAGAGAAAGGTCTAACATGGTCAGATCCCACCCCAAACTCACAGAGCCCCCATGGAATCCCAACCCCTCTGGTTCCCAACACCCATGGGATCCCAT